CTACTGGGAACGGCACCTTTCCAACAGCCACTACTGAACTGACTAGATCGCAGTTTATGGTGCTTTTGGGAGTTCGTTTTATTTCGTATTTGGCGACTTTTTTTCCTTTTCGCGAGAAATGAAATTCTGTACGGAGGATACGACGCTCTGATACTGTGTAGAATTTTGAGATACCAGCGACATTTTATTTACTTACTTGGATACTTGGACCCCGGCATGATCTTCATTTTTTGGAGTGTTACTGCTTTGGCGATTGTGGTTTCCTTAAGGCTCGAGGTCGGCCAGGAAAAAGTGTGCTCCAGGTGGTCACCACTACCGCCCTTGTGGATTAGAGAGAGATTTGCCACCGTGCGACTGGTTTGATACTGGGACGGTGGCAGATCCTGGTACTGGTTTACTCTTAGCTGGGCGTCCTGATGAAATCACCGGACTCCTTCTCAGCTTGGGAGACCGTTTCATGAAAATGAATTACCCGCTGTACATCGCAGCACGACACCCAAGTACACCTCCCTGCTATGCGGTGGTAAACCGTTGAGAGGTTAATCAAAACCATCGATTTACCATGATGCCACTAGAAACTTACAGAAAACAAGATAAAATATTCAGCGAATCGATTTTAAAAGAATGACGTTTCTCCAACCGTTCACAATGAGCTTTACGAAATACTAGTAGATCGAGTCTAAATTTGTACTTCTAAGGTCGCTCATAATTGTAATTTCCCCTCATAATGATGACGACAAACATGGCATAACATAACAACACTGTATTGATTTTGTGTTTCTTGATTTCTTGATTTTCATGAGCATCACACAATTTGCAACAACATTTCCTTAAAATAAAAGCAATTCATATAAAAGTTCATGAAAGTTCTGTACAGCTTTAGGATTCTGGATTGTGGACTCGTCTCTGAAAATTTGCAAGGCTCTCCAATTCTGAAGCATTCCAGTCGTTGTAAAGGTGTTGGTCTTTGTAAAAAAAAAAAAGACATGGCTTTGCTATCGATGTATTTATGATGAGTTTAAAAAGAAAAAAAAAACTCGAATGTGGTCTACCATTAAATTTTCTCTCTAACCCGCTACTCTTGTTACACATTGCATCCATATTTGAACGTTCCACTTTTTTCTTCACTCTATCTCTTTCTTTCCCCATCTCTCCTATTAAAGTTTACAGTTCACAGTTTACGTTACAAATGAGAAAAGTTTGCGCTCACAGGTTTCATTCTTTTTTGAATTTAAATTCTGCTTTCATCATGGTTTCGGACCTCAAGCATTTATTGAATCGCACACACTGGCAAAGATGACTTCTGCGTTTCATTGACGACAACTAATCACATCTGTTCGCAGCATCTCTTCGTCATCTTATTTGTTATTCGCAGTTCCATTGTATATGGGTGACCGATGTGGTATGTGAAAAATTCTGATTCCGACACGACTGTATTTGTCACATGCTCTTCAGTTCTTTAATAAACGATTTCTTTGTGTAGAATTGAACAGTGAGTGTTTAACAAAAGCATATTGAGAACAATCCAAGCCATAAATATCTTACACGATTTACTGTAATGCGAATGCAGCTGAGTGAAGTGTGAGACCATCACAATCACTTTAGATGACATCCTCATGGGAACCACCAAACCCTCTTTTCTTTCATCTCTCGCCAGCTTTCTTTTCCTATGATTGTTCTATACGATTCGTCTTCGAACTCCGTTCTTATAGGTATAGAGAGCGAGATGTTTCTTCACGTGTTAAACTTTTTTGCTCTGCGCTACGCCTTCTACGCTTATTGTGTTCTAGAAGACGTTGTTGGAACGCTTTCTGAGCGTTGAGCGGAATTATTGACGTCGTTATTAAAGTGTTAACCCACGCCTGAACTGTATAGCACAAATCTGGGAGAGACATGAACTCCAACATGTAAGTGCAGAGTATTCGAGTCTCTCAGTGGATCAGTGACCTTCTTTAGAAGATTGGTGTAGTCAATCACCGCTTTCCACTTTTTTTTTTGGAAAACTCTTGGTCTCTGTCGTTTTCAACTCCAAAGAACAACCGTATACTTAAGATGAAATCTCTGTGAACGAAAACAGTGCACTTCTACTCGCTTTCCGTCATAACATGGATTTTCCACAGCCTCGGTTTTCTTATAAAACACTTTTTAATTGTTTATGAAAATGAAGACAAAAAATAGGTAGTGCTCTCGACAGACTTCTATAGTATTAGCAACGGCTCCAAGGTGATCAGTGCTACAGAAACTCTGTCGATTTCCTAGATTCAGAAGTCCATAGTACGTATTTTCCATGTTACGTATGATCTTCGCGAAAAATTTGTAAAGTACACTGGACGGGGTTCCGAGGAGTACGTGAAGTGTGAAAACGAAAACATTGAAGTACAACCCTTCTGTTATCATTTCCGTATCGTGGCATTCGACAGAATCCCTCTCTACTTGGTTCAGCAGAACTGATAGTGGAATATTCCATACTCGAAGGTATGGAGATGTTTCTATAGATCGGCCACTTTTTGAGCTCTATCTAACAATCGTTTTGCACATTTTTGTATTAGTGCAAACTTCCTTACAGTAAGCTTTTTCAACTCATATTTATTGCAAACTATTCGGTATGTATCACAATCCGATCCAGCCTCGGCTTTATCCTCTTCTCTAGTGACGCTTTGTTAAAGGAGAGTTACTTAATGAATTTCTTGATTGAGCAATTCAGGTGTATTTGACACGGTTTTGCAATCCTTCCGCAAGAAGCCGCTATTCCACAACAAAGTCCTTTTTAACCGGTGCGTAGTAGTGAGAAGCAATTTACTTTACCATATTCTCGTCGTCACATTTTTCCTTTCGCTTTTTTTTGGCAGAGATAAGAAGAACTCTCCGGTAGCTTACTTACATCGTGCACTACAACGTGTACTAACACCAGTGATCATTCATTCTTATCAGAGCAGAGCGCCCATTAAGAAGATGCTTCTGATTTCCTCACGCGGAAAATACCAAATGCATCTGAAGATTAATACCCGGTTAAATTTCTATCGACTTCATTTGTAAATAACAGGCAAAAAACAGCCCTACTCAGTTAGCTGTTTCAAAAATTTTTCCCAAAACAACTCTTTCTTACCCATTTCAAGAAAAGTTTACCTTAAAAATTTCAAAAATAAGGAACAGGGGTAGCGGAGAACTCTCCGAACTACAAGCGCAACCGATAGCCTGCCAAACTAACTTAGTGCAACATTTTCACTTTTTCTGTACCTCACTTTTTCAAAAATAATTGGTATAAACGCCTTACTTCATTTCTCTGGGATGCATGGATCACAGGAAATCAATATTTGTTCTCAAAGAAAACGACTTAATCATATGAAATTACTGAGTTCCACTCCCGAAATTACATTTTCGAGCAAAAATTAAAACCCGAGACTATTTCCGCTGGATAAGGTCGTTATGTGCTTAACATTACCCTTTTAAAAAAGCTAATTGTTTAACTTGTTGCTTAATATAACTTCAATGATGCAGAGATATTTACAAAACTCCGGAGCTCAAGTCGAAATTGTGAATACAACTGCATCCTCAGCATAACTGGGTTCATTGCTGATTTGGGCTCCCCAGATCAATGCCGTTGGCGGGTGATTGCTGATGGTATTGACCGATAGAACTAGCTGAGAGACAGGAGAAACGAAGGACCCGGATGGTGCGGTGATGAACGCTTTAGCCCCCGGAAAAGGTAATAGCGCGTTCGTTCCCAACCGCAAACATCTGCGGTGCCGAGGTTTACAAATACTTCAACATCATTGTGGTTGTTTCACACGTAATAGCCTGCCATCAAAAAGGGTAGACAATAAATAATAGGTTAAAGTTGTTCAACTTGTATTTCTACTAATTATTGAATGACCCAATAGAGGCAGCAGCAGTCAGTGTTCATGAGGTGCGCTCTTTTATTCACTACGATGCCCTCCCTTTGACCAAAAATTCGTTCTAAATGAGCAGTGGAACTCAAAACGACTACAAATTTGTCCTTAAGTGGGCTACCAAACTAAAGTGCCAAGCACGCTCCTCGGCCGTGCTGACGTTACTGGGGAATAAATCACAGTAGCGCATCTTAGTTCGGTACTTAGAAACCGTTTCACCTATTATAACTTCATAAACAGCTAATGAAAACTTCTGACGGGAATAACAATGGTATCACTAGTAATAATGAATAGTAAGCAGCACTGCCTTAAATACGTCATCGAAATTATGAGGCTCCAATATAACACCCTGTTCTTATGAAATGGGCATTCAAAAGCTTCTCTTTCGGTACAAGATCGCCTTTTTCAAGTAGGCTTTGCAGTTAATTGCGAAAATTGTGTATAGTTTATAACCACTTCGTGAACATGACTGTGCTCGATTTCAAAGTTGCGGCACTCCCTTACTAAAGGGATGGAAGTTCGAGTAGAAACTTCTAAGAAAAAAGTCAAGGGTTATGCTTCTTAAGTGCTGACACCAAAAAGATATTGAGTCGTAGAAAAAAGGAATGGCTAAAGAAAGTTTTTTTGTAAAAGTGCAGGACTTGATGGGGAACCTGTGATCAGTTAAAAAGACTATTAGAGGTTACTGTGACCATAAAGATTTCAACGACAGGAATGCTGAGATGAGATATGCAAAACATGGTGCTTAAGGTGGCCTTCGAGGTTACGATTGCCCTTCCTGAGAGCTCATGTGTTATTTCTTATCCTCGAGTTCATAGAATGGTCACAAATACCACAAAGCGCTAAGAATTTAAAATGAAAAAACTGAAATGAAATCACTGGAGAAAAAAACAGCTACAACGTTTCATCGATGATTTCATACTAAAAGCCAAAAAACCTCCGTAAAAGCACTCAATGCATGGACATATCTCGGTCAATCGTCAACACAAATGCAATTAAAGTGCTTCAGAACTGGTTCCACGGAACCCAAAAACACAATGAAACAATATCGTCGATTTTCGAGACTGTTACCAACTTCACTAAGCACTCACATTATAGAGCGTTGTTATTATGGGTCTATTGGCGCTGATCGTCATCTTTATTGTCTATGTGGTCTTTGTGTATCGCCGACAACTGGTTCAACTTTGGCGACTCAATCGCCACTGCAGCGCCGCATTCGTGAAAGTTCCAGGACCGCCGTGTTTACCGGTTATCGGCGCTGCTCATCTGTTCAAATGGAATGATCTCGGTGAGAAAACCGCACATTTTTTCAACTGTTTTGATAAAAATTCGTACTATAACAAAATCTAAATAAGCAAACGCAGTAGCAAGGAACGCATTGCAGAGAACACGTGGTCATCGGTTCATTCTCACTACTCTTACATCATGTAGTGTGAGAACTTTTCTCAGATAGTCTGGATCTAATTCACCAACCCCAGATGGAAGGGAAACCTAGATCTGGGGCGGTCAAATCAAGCGCGGTATTACTGCACGACATCATGTAACCATTGCTCCTTCCAACCGTCAATATTTCACTGGCTAAGATTTTTCCATATAGTTGCTAAGTTTGCTATAAACGATAGAAAACGCATTTTGTTCTAGCCACTTTATGAGTTTACAAACGAGTCCGGCTTTTGATTTTCTCATTCCCTTTGCGAATTTTTTCACACAAACTCTGCTAGAGATAATCAACCATGTCACTAGGATTACTCTCAAGGTTTTACATTAACCGTAAAAATCTGGAACATTAAAACGTGTAAGTACTTTCTTGGATACCCTAAACAAATGGGCGCGTATGGCGTATGGTCGGAGGCACCCTGCGACACATACACAAGGGATCGATCTCTGCGTCCGTGGTTCACCAAGCCCTTCATCTCTCCGGGATCGAAAATTCGTACCAGACTTGTTTTGGGAGGATAAGAGTATTGGCTCGATACATCGGTAGGCTACCGCGAGTAACTGTGAAGGCTAGATATGCGTTCTATTGCCCCAACGATGCTTGATGAAGTGGAATGCATGGCGCATTCCTCAAGGGTTGATCAAACGCCGAGAGCTCTTTATCCTTTTACCATAAGTAAAGTTTTGTTTTTCTTCATATGTTTACACGCTTTCAGAATTTGCCTATCAGTTGGATAAATGGGCTCGAGAATATATTATCACCAAAAGTAACTATTATGGTCTAGTGAAGGTATGGGTCGGACCAGTCCCGCTAGTGTTTTGTGGTACACAAGAATCTATTAAGGTATGTCCGTTTAGTCAACCAAATATACAACAAGTCTTAGTTAGGTAATTGAAATATTCAATGATCGTTCTCAAATGGTGAAGATTATGTCCAGGATCCTAAATAAATAGCGATAGACTGTAGGAAATTCAGCAGAATCTTTCTGAAACTTTTTTGAAGAGGAAAGTTCACTCATTTTCTCTGTTAGCAATCGCGAGGTTGTTAAATAGCATACGTTTACTTTCATACAACAGCACACATGCAACACAACCGTGGCCGACTTTTCGGCAGAATCACCTTCTTCAGAGCCGCTTTTTAGGTGCCTTCTACTGAGGAAGAGCCGCTGATTACAGTCGCATATGCCTGACGAGTCGTCGTGTTATATATGTCCTGTTTGTATGGAAGTAAACGGATGCTGTTTAACAACCTCGCTATAGCTGAGAGAGAAAGCGACGAGTTTGTAATTCATTACCGGAGTTAATAGAAAGTCGATCCTGGGAAAGTTCACTTGTTAGTGAAATTTCAGTCTGAATTGCAGCGGGTTCGCAGGAAACAATTTCGAAAGTGTTCTGTTCTTGTCATCCAGACCAGTTTTTAATTGTACACTACAGCTCATTTCTATCTACGGGCGGAGACAACTTTCAATGAAATGAAATAAGTAAAATCTATAGGTCGTTCACAAAGACCACAAAGACTGGGAATTTCATTCCACTTTTACGATTTCGATTTACTGTCAACTTTAAGATTGTCTTTAAAATAACAATTTTAAGAGCCGATTTGCAAGACATATTTCCTTTTAATCTTAGTAGTCGCTACTAAGTTACTGCGTTTTGGATCGAAGCTGTTTTTCCTTCTTGTGAAGAAGGGAGAAATCAGCTGAATCTTCAGCCACTGTATAGAAACCTCATATTAACAGAGCATCTAATATAAGTATAATTTTATACAGTTGCATTAATATTTGATGAAAATCACTAGCTCAAAAGATTTTGTTAATTACAGCCTATTCTTGAAAGTAATACGAATATTTCGAAGCCGAATCAATATGATATCATATCGGAATGGATAGGAACCGGTCTGCTCACGAGGTGAGAGTCAATTTCATCGCATTTTTACCTCTTTTTCTACTCATGTGTTTTATTAATTGTACTCTCCAAATGGTTCTCACAAAAGGAAAAAATCAGTTTATCAAAAATCCATGTTTTACAGCACTTCATAGACATATTTAGATTCAAAACATACGGCCACGAATCTCCCTCATAGAGGGAACTTAGGCCTGTTAGCCACCAACCAAGGTGGCATGCCCACAGGCTGTAGAAAGGGGTTAATCGTCGAAAAAAAGCAACCTGTTTTTCCCTGAGACGCAGTTGGATCTAGGGGATAGACTCTCCGTTTTTGGTGTGCCGATTTGGAACATACCATCCATATTTATGAGGACGTATTCGGGTGGGTTCGCCTGCAATCAGTGGCATGGAAGTATATGGGAGGAAGTTAGGAGTAGTCTCCAACAAATAAGGCACCCATCCACTTTAGGAGACACCGGCAAGCTCTTTGTGAGTAAACCCAGCCACCACGTTTAGAGACCAGCAAGATATATGTGGGTATCAAACCCTAACTAAGTAAAATGGGCGTACCTCAATTTAGTAACCCCGAAAGAGTTCCCGATACTGTGGCGCTCAGTAGGGCAAGTATAGGTAAACTGCTAAAATCCAAAGCCATTGTAAGCTGCATAATTTTCGAAGGACTAAGGTGACGATTTATGCATGCATTACACGCTTAGCACGCTTACCTACATCTAAGTTCCCGATCGAGGACTTGATCAAGAGAAGTGATAAGTACGACATTATCGGACTGGCCGAGACGTGGAGACGCCACCTATTTAACGCCACCTGTGACAACACAAAACTGTTCCTCGGAAAATGCGATAGTTGAGGGATCAGCGGCTTAGCGTTGTTATTAACACGAGTTTAGCCATGAACATCGATTCATTCTAACAACTAACAACCCGAATCGAACGTTTTGACAATACTCATCGTCATCGAAGTCGTAAAAACACCATAAACTGTGAATTATTATGTTCAACAGTCAGCCTTTGGGAAGATGCAGTTCTCGATAACATCAACGGGGAATACGATCGGCTTATTCAATATCTTCCAGTTAGCACTATGAAAGCCGAGTGTTCGGAAGTCACTAAGGGACGTCTGTCTCTAAAGACACTCGAGCTGATACGCCAGAGTGGAAACGTTAGAGCTGGGGCTAATTGCACCTGACCTCCGATTTTGGAAAGCAAAGTAGACAAACGATAAAAGAGCATCTTAAATAGGGAAGAGCAGCGGTTATGGTCAAAGCTGCAGAGACTAGGGAAAACATTCGCATAGCCCACCGAAGCTTCGCCAATTACAGAACCAAGATTGTTGCTCTCCGACACTCAACCGGAATAGTTACAGGTTCCAGAAAGATAATGGAGAAAATTATTCAGGATAATAGATATATTGTGCTACTACTTCTTTCTTCCAAAGTTTGACGCACTATTTCGTGGGTGAAAGATAGAACAATATCAGATCAGGACAAGGCAAGAGTTGAACACCTGAAGAACCGTCCGCTAGTCCTCATAAACTTACTGGCTCAGTTTCTCACACGTTAATTTTCATTCAAATTGCAAGGTTTCTAGTCAGTGAAAGACCATTAAAAATGTGTTCAACAAGGGTGACATCCATTGCATCGCCAACTATCGTCTAATCCGCTTTCTGCCTGTTGTCTACGAACTCTTCACTCGAGTCATTCCGAACAAGACTGACCGAACTCTGGACGAAGGTGAGCCAAGGGAATAAGCGGGGCTTCGAAAATGGTCAGATTCAGTTTATCCCAATAGTGCTCGACGAGTTTTTAAAGTAAGCAGAACCCACTGGGATAGTCTTGCAGGCGAGAGGGAGAATGGAAGATTTACCGGCGCTCGCTCGAGAAACTTTACGGTTAATGGGACGAAAGGTGATGCAAGTGATTCAAGGCGAAATGATTTATTATCGAGTTTACAAAAGATTTTTTTAGACTTTAAAATGTCAATGTTTTCTGCTTGTAAGCCCTTTTTTCTAAATAAAAATCCCATCTATATACGCTAAACCTTGTGAAAATCTCTTCGACACGGGTTTAGTCCTCGGAAGCATTATAAGAATATCTTAAAACCGACTTTCGTTAGACCTCGGCGATAATAACCTACATTGTTCTAGACTACTGAGTTAACAAAATGTCGGCAGAAAAATATTTATTCGACTATGGTTTCGAATCTTCGTCCACTTCCGAGCCGATTTAGTCCATCTCGATGGTCTACAAGCTGTCGTCCTCGCCGTGGGGCATTCATTGGGCATGGTCGCCAAGAAAGGGGCACCGATGGAAAGGGGTTCCCACACATGGCGACACCCATTTTTATACAGTACTGGGTAAAGATCTATTGCCGCCATTTAATATGGTCCGTTTTTTGGCGGGCAATGCGTTCTGCAGCAGTCGGTACTTCATTTGCTAGCACACGGCGCAGCACTATGTTGTGACCCAACCTTCGCTAAGCTTTGCCATAAAAAAGCAATATCGTTCCAGATTTATTATAGGGATAGTGCTTAACATTTATTTGCCGCTTGCTATCTTTTCATGGCAGGGTATTACGTGAAATACATCCAAAACAGGTGAGACCGCAAGGGTAATTTCGTAGACCCTTAAGTTCTGTTCAATTTAAACTTTGAATGGTTTCGCTAATTTTAGATGGCTAACGTCTCGGCGGTTTAGCGGTCTTCATATCTTCGAAAGGCTGCCACAGAAACGATTACGAAAAGCTTGGCGTCTTAGAGCATTCGTTGATATTGCAATCAGTCTTGCCAGCTTCTCTAAACCAGTCTTTTTAAGTATCGCTTTACAGTTGTGCTTACTCCATTAAACATAAAGGCAGTTTAAATGAGAGCTTATTTCGCTAAACTAGTGTTTCGGAGGCTTCTTTCTCTTTTAAACCTATTCCGAAAAGCTACCGCTTCATGGGAAAACGAAAACAACTACGCAAATTATGCGGTCCATCAGAGGGCAGCCACCAAATGCTGGACATCGAAAAGCGCCTACTACCCGCCTTTCCCAGAAGCAAACAGAAAAAGACGTTTGCTCAACTGAGAAAGTGCAAGTCGAAATCGGCATCGTCGTAGAAAAGGCATGGGTCACACCGTTTTGGAAGGAACCACTCTCCTTGGCGGTGCATGCTCGCTGATAAGAGTTGAGTAGGAGTTGCTCACCAGCGCAACCCGAATATAAAGAAACCTTGTGTCGGAGATCTCAAGCAGTCTAAATAAGCTTCAAGATATCAACTCCATTACAAAATTGGACTATGGACGCTGCACATAAACAAAAAACAGAAAGTAGGAGCCTTATCACCTCCTCTTTTTCCTCGAGCGTTCTTTGACCTGCATGAACTCAATGGCGAAGTAGACATCAAATTTCGTTTATTTTCAGACGAGACGTTTAGAATCTATAACCACTATCGCGAAAGAATGTTTAGTTCCATGCTCACACCAGATCAGAAATGTGATGTGCGACATGATCCATAACTAATAAAGTCAAAAACCACTAGACTACTAGTTAATCATAGACGTTGAGAGTTTGTAGCAATTCCTCGTCAGTTGGATGTTAAGATAACAGAAAAATGTCTTGAGGAACTTCTCTTTATTGCCCATCATCTGAGAAGTAGTTCAAAACTCAACACCGAAAATTATGCAACGAGTAAGTGAGCGTGGCATGTGTGTTAGGTTTGAAACTATCAGTTATTTAGCCAATTAAAATTGAATTACGGACATGCTCCGTCCTCTACTATCAAAGCTCGTTACATTAGTGCCTTCAGATAATTTTACGTCTAGTCACCCCTCGACGTTTAAGACGAAACCCATCATCGGCTGTGTAAACGAACCCACTGGAAGAATAATTTGGTTTGCAAACACAACTCTCATCCAGCTACTCAAGCACGCCCCAGCTTACCTCAGCAATGCATAAATTTTCATGGGTCTTCTAAGTAGCACGTGGACAAAAAGCACGTACGTAATGGAGTCCTTCGAGTTTGTCGCACTTTCTACAAACGTGTCGAATGACTACGCAATGGCAGCACGGAGAAGTAATAAACATGTGTCTTCTCGGTTTAGTAGCTCTTCACTTTCTTAGGCGAGTGCCTAAACTGCCTATCCTTCGGATAGTCTGGAAAATATCGTACGCAATTGCGTGGTATGGCAATAAAACAATGACTGGCACCTTACCTTTTCATTAAGAATGTCGTAGAATGCTGGTCGAATCAATTCTTCTTGAAATCTTTAATATAGCAGAGTTAAAGCGTTCGCACGTGGATAGAAGGCGAGCGTTGAGGCGGGGATCGAACTATGGCCTTTGCTTCATAATGAATAGCACCACTAACCACTTCAATATCTCCACCATTTTTCCAAGTATAGCTTATATAATTTCATAAATATGTAAAATATCTTTCACTGTTGCCTAACGACCGTTAACAGCTTCCTTTATTGTATTTCAGGAAGGATTTCCAAAAATTTCGACTACAAATTAGAGAGTCTTTTGAACAACAATCTCCAAAATTTTACTCATTCTTGAGCGATAATTTTGGACTACGTAGGGAATTTTTTAGCGTTTAACCCTCTCAATCGAGTTATTTTAAAATCTGCTTCGAAGAACAGAATTTGAACGTCTTTTTCTTTTCGTTCGTTGAAATAAACTACTCATAGTATGTTCTTAGCACAAATGCGAAATGGTTCAAACGGCGAAAATTGCTCACATCGGCGTTTCACTTCAATGTTCTACAAGGATACCATGATATTTTCGCCCAACAAGGCGAAGTACGTATTTCCTTTGAACCGAAGCAAACTTCTTAGCTCCTAAAGAAGAAAAATCTGAAGTAAATGATGGATTTCAGGTTCTTGTCGATCTCATCGCCGAAGAAAAAGGATTCTTCGATCTGTTTCCTTATATTAAACGATGTGCTTTAGACATTATTTGTGGTAAGTAAAAAGAAACTTCTGGGTTTTTCGAAATTAACCTTACATTCGTCACCAAAGAGTCTTAAAGTATTTACTCCAAGAATTCAACTGTGCTTTGAATAGTGCGATTTCTAACTTCGGGTAATACAGCTGAAACATAACGCGCAAACGGTGGGTTTCACTCATCAGCAATCTGATCGTATTTAAACAATCAAATTGACAGTTTCCTTTCACGATTTTTTTTGAAACTTCATTTTGGTTTTGACGAGTTAAGGACTGATGTCACTATGAAGCGTGGATATCTGTTGTGCGATACGTGGCAGTTAAATATACTAGCAAGGTTGGACTAGCAAACACCGTTATGTTGAAAGCACGTAGTGTTTGAAAGTGGAATTATTTTTAACCTTCTGGAATAATATATTTGTTTTGTTTACTCATATCACTGATTGTAATCCTTGTTACCGACTGACTTAAACACCCACTGGTAATTTTTCGTTCGTTCCTGTCGGATCCTAGAGATACTGAGTGGGACCAACTTGTTCAGGAAAAGCGGAGAGAATTACGCATTTGTTATGATGCCCTTTTTAAAACGTTTATGATAAGGAGATATCTACAGATGGCCCATCAGGATCTGCTGTGGCAAAGATTTTCTTCTAACCAGGCTTCCAACTGAAGATTTCAATTTGCTTCTCAGTTTGGTCGATCCAGATTAGGGAACGAGTCTTGCAGTGCATCACAATTTCTCGTCGTAGTGCACCCACCGTGGGCTTACTTAACAGTTCTATGCAAAGGGTTTTTTAAAGCTTCTCTCTGCTCTTCAATAATCCGGAAATTTCTCGAATATTCAGAAACGGCTATGGGAACGGCAATCAATAGTCAAACCAATGGTAACAGCGAATACGTTCTGGCGGTGCAAAGATTGACCTCAATTCTTTGGAAATACCAAAGGTGAAATGCCTTCTATTTTTTGTTATTTTTTTCTACATCATTTTATCGTTTTCTTCGTGTGTCTCATCGACTCTCTAGTTATGGAATTCCACTGCACTGTGTAAGCCACACAAGAACAAAACCACAACACGTAATGATTCCAAAAGTCAGCTTTCAATAAATGTCGGCATTAATAGATTTTTACTTAAACGACACGAACTGTCCTTCTTGAGCTGACGCGAGGTTGTTCTCATGTGTTCCTGAAACTCGATTACTGACCTTCAGGCGAGTTCGCCTCCTCCACAGCCTCTTCCATTTCACAAGGTGTGAGACCACACGTGTTCAGGTAGGATGACCAGTCACGTCTAGTATTTGACTCACATCATCTCAAACGCAGTATTTTATTTGCTCAAGTAAATAAACTTATCTTATAAATCAAAAAAAGAGATTTAAAATAATTGGGAATGTCAACTGAAATTCGAAGACAAACTAAAGGCTTACCGCAACTGGGAAGAGTTCGCGTGTGCCTTCCGATTACGGTTATGAATTCTAAATGTTGCTCATGCCTTAGGTCTGACTGAAATGCATTAAAGTAGTTTTACGACAAATAACAAACTATCACACAGAAGTTGGAATACCGTTTTGACGGCAGTTATACTCTCCGATTTCGACAGACGTATGGTAATTTCTGAACAAAGCGTAGCGCCGGAATAACAATAACGTTGTGACAAAAATATAAGGACAAAATTTTATGAGGCTACTAAATCATGTTGCGATATGCTGTTTACATTTATATTGTGGTTACAAAGTCACAGAGGTAGTGATTGGGCAAGTCATTTCCACGCAAAAGCCAGAAACCGCAGTAGATCGAAATGTTCTGTGTTAGGACATGCAGTGGTTCCACCTCTCATCGAACCATAAAAACGTCGCATCTCTTGCTATTACACTTGTCTGAGAAAAGATTCTTCCAATTCACAAATGCCGTCAACTGTTTCTGTGGTGAAGACATGGCAACTTTCTCCCATTGTTATCCTAAGACCTGGAACAGAATCAGATTGAGCAACATTAAACAGCACTCGAAAGAAAATAAAACCTTTGTGCTGCAACTGAATCCATAAGCGAATCCAAAGACCTTCGTCATTGGTGAATGCTAGACAACTGCAACAGAGTGAGCAAAGTGCTTAGAGACGTAAAACACGTGCATGTCCAATCACACAAATATTGCTCAAAAATAGAATCTCTAAGCGGAATTCTTTCCGTTTAAACCACCGTTCAGATTTATATGAGAGCTTCTGCTCATATTTGTCACTCTCAGGTTTCCGTGGCTATGGCTGAAGCCAATCTGGTATTTGAGCGGAATTGGATTTGAGTTTAATCGTCTTGTCAAACTCACCAATGATTTCACCAGGAAGGTAAGACGTTTAGCAAATTATATGTAAGCGCAAAAGAAACGGTATTTAGGTGATAGCTGAAAGAAAGCGTTCTATGAAAGAGCGAAAACTAAGTGAGGACACTGAAGGCAACCTGAACAAAAAGAAACTTGCCTTTCTAGACCTCCTACTGCATATGCAACATTCAAATGAACTAACCGACGAAGATATAAGAGAAGAGGTCGATACATTTATGTTTGAAGGTGAGTACTCTATGTTTTAATCTATTTTTTGGTTATTTATAATCAATCAGTTTGGATGTCACTATTGATACCAAATCAATAAGGTACTTCATTGAATACTTATGTGGTTTCTCTTAGAAAAAACATCTACTTGTTTACGTATTTGTGGTGATTCCTTGCCTTCTAATACGGTTGCTTAATAGCTACAATACACACCGATAATGACAGAAATCCTAAGATCTGTGATCTCAAGGTTAACACATTAAGTACACACTCCTGCTTCCTATCTACAAAAAATTAGGGAATTGATTTAAGCGTTTAGAAGATTTAGCCAATGGTACAGTATGCCAGGGGCGGGTAATACACTGGTGGCGATGCCGATCATCACGAGCATGTGCTGGCTGGGCCCCACTCCGAGCTCACCAAGCTTCTCACCTCTCTGGGGTAGGCAAATTGGTACCGGACTTATCCGGGAAAAGTTCACTCTGTGCATTCTATGAGGGAACGCTCTAGCTCGGCCATCTTAGGTCTCTAGGGAGAATCCATTCGACAATCCTTTAACAGCTTTCTTAATGAGAAGAAAATCCTCGAGCAGCAGCTGAACCCACATGTAAAAAGTTGGAAGACCTTTGTGGATGATAGATGGAAACGAATAAATTTTAAAAAGTTCTGAAATCAGCACAATAAATGTAAAGACGAGTCGTGTAAAAGAAAGAATCAAGCATGACACTTTTGTCACCCGTCTTCAAAAATCACGAAAAATTCTGCAGACCACAGCACAGTGTCCACTGCACTAGTAAGCTTTTTCTCGAACTAGATTTTATAACAAATTGTTCGTTTGGACAAGATTTTCTATTTGGAGTCTCCGAAATGGTGTAGGGCGTGTGCAGCAGTGGTTGGAGGCGCCACCGCGACACACACGTGGAATCGATCCCTCACCCATGGACCACCAAACCTTCTGTGGATCAGCACCGCCTTTAAGAATCTTCGTCGTCCACACGCCGTCATCAAGCCATGATGAAGGCAAAGTAAAAGCGTTCCAACATGGACTTTGAGAAGTTCTGCAGAGAAGACCATACATTCTCTAAGGTTATCATTAAAGATTTGGACTGGACTCAGAGGAAGGTCTGGAGAACACAAACAGAACAAGCAGTGTAGGTAGCTGTCTAAATTTATTTTGACGACTAAGGCCTTGCATGGTAACCAACAGTCCAGAAACCCTGCTCTTAACGCTACCCGTGGAAGTTTTTTAAGAGAGAGTACTATGAAATAGACCGTGCTTTAGTAAATAGAAGGTTTTGCCTACCCGACGTCATTGTTGAACCAAATTCTTCACTGGATCAGAACATAGACTCTTTCGCGCAAGATTCCGTTCTTCGCAAAAAGGAAAGAAAGCAGCTAATTTTAAGAAATGAAATCTTCAAGCCATTCTTAACTGAGATTTATTCACATCACTGCTTTGCTCCTAGGGTATGGCGTTTTGACAACGTCAACGAGCAATACGACCGGATTATTCAATATTTTCACGTCAGCGCTATAAAACCTTAGAGTTCGAAAGTCACCAAGAGACGTCTGTCTCCGGAAACACCCCAGATAATACGTCGGCCTTGAGTCCCGCGCGCTGCAAGCAAATGCCAACTCACGTCTGAACCTGTAAAGCAATGCATACAGGCGATAAAACAAGATCTTAAAGAGAAAAGAGCAGTAAATATGGTCGACGCTACAGAGGCTGGAAAAAACGTTTGCAAATCTCGTTGAAACCTCGGCCATTACAAAATGGAGATGATTGCGCTGGGACGTCCAGACGCAACGATTACGGCCTCCATAAAGGAAATGGAGAAAATCATTCACGTCTGGTACTCAGATTTCTTCAATAGCCACGTCTTCCTGCTCTCATATGAAATAAAGCAGAACGTGGAAGATAGTAGGACATTCTATTGTTCAAGAAGGGTGACCTCAACTATACAGGCAGGTATCCCTCAACTCTGACCCAACTTCCTGCAGTACTTTGATATCCCGAGGAATCCAGTCACTAACGGCTCTTGTCCATGGGTTGTCATTCATACGCATTACGTGTCCAGCCCACCTTATCTTCGACTGTTTGGCGTACAGAACGGCATCTTTAAATTCTGATCGTTGCTGCAGGTCGGAGCTCTCCTCCCTTAGTTGTTCGAAATAAGATACTTCCTAGCATCGTCCTTTCGACTGCGCGTTCGATAACGCTGAGTGACCTTTCATCTTGCTTACGCAACGACCAGGTTTCTGACGCATACGTTAGGGCAGGAAGTACCGCTGAGTCGAAAAGACGGACACGGAGTCGTGTGTTTTTTGTCCTCTTCACTACATTCCCGATGCTCTTGATAGCTCCCCAGGCTGCTCATTTCCTTCTGCTCAGCTCTGGAGCTAAGTCGTTCATCGTATTGATTTCCAGATCTAGACAGACATAACTGGAGCATTCGGAGATATTCGTTCCGTTGAGTGTGAATGGGACATGCGAAACCAATCCGTTCCTTATGAACATCGTTCAATTTACAACGTACAAAATGCTAAACACAGTAAAAAATGAGACTTATATAGGCCCAGTCATCTGCGAAAATAATGAATAAACAGCTTTTAAATGTCATCGCCTAAAGGATAGTTCCAGGAACGAACCGGATTTCGAAAAAATATTGGTGGAATGGATTATTCTTCTACGATTAACAAATTCGTTAAAAATATGACACGGGTACAAAATCCAGCAGAATCCTGCTATTTTTAGTGTTGATCGGTTTGAACAAGGTCTCACCACCATTTGAAGTGGAAAATATGAGAGACCGATATCAGTTCGACACAAAAAATTCGTCACCACTCCTAAGAAGGTCATGTGAATAATAGAATGGGAAAGTGTAAAAGGGAAATGTTGTGGGCAGCTCGTATTATATACCATTTTTGTTCTGCTTTAATCATTCTTATAACGCCAAGCATTAGCCCTGTAGAACGACTGCTGCTTAATCTCGATAGTACGTATGGAAAAATGTCCTTTAACTAAACATTAATGATCTTCGATTTAACATAACGATGGAAATAATAATGGCCTTTCATTTTAGAATTTTTTCCGAAGTACTATTTATGCTGGAAGTAAAGAACGTCAATAATCATTTCAAGTGTGTACGATTACAACGTTATAGGACATGACACGACTTCGAGTGGAATCGGATTCACTGTGTGGTGGCTTGGACAAATGCCAGAATGTCAAAAGAAAGTTCACGAAGAGTTGGATAGTGTTTTTGGTATGAGCATTGAATGAATGATTTAACGCTTAATAAAAACTGTATGGAACAGTAGATATAGAAATTATTCTTGGAATTTTTTCCTATTATTTTGTTTACTTATTCTATTTTCACCTATTTATTTTATGCAAAAATACAACTAAGATGATGGCGAGATATTTGCAAAACTCCAAATTCCAAGTGGGTCCGATAGAGAACGAACGCATTATTACTCTTTGCGGAGGCTAACGTGTTCACCACCACACCATGCTCGTCCGTCGTTTCAGAAAACTAGCTGAGACACCAGAAACGAAGGACGCGCATGGTGTGGTGGTGAAGGCGTTGGCTCGCATAAAGGGCAATAGCGCTTTCGTTGCCAACCGCTGATACCTGCAGTCCGGAGTTTTGCAAATATCTCAGCATCGTCTTGGCTATAATTGTAGTAGGCAGCAAATAAAAGGTGAAGGCTATTTATCTAATTTTATTCTACATTCGAAGACTATATTTACTGTCGTTAACTGATAGAGATTAAAGTCTGACTTGTAGGTGATTCGGATCGTTTGCCTACACAAGAGGATCTCAAAAAGCTTGTCTATCTAGAGAAATGCATCAAAGAATCGCTTCGGCTTACTCCTTCCGTTCCGCTTGTGGCCAGGAAACTCTCCAACAATGTTTTGATTGGTTCGTATTCCTATAGAATACCATGTGGTTTTCCATGCGACTAATCAGTTGTGCTCAAAGAGACTCTTTCTCACCAGAAAACGATATTCAATTCAATATTTGTATGGTAAACGCTTCTAATTCCGAATGCAATAGAATTTACTGTCAAAACTTTAAAAACGAGGAATAAAGGGAAAACTATATTACGTAGATCCCTCTGAGATTCTCCATGCTTTCGATCACACTAGCCATCATAGAGGTGATGGAATAGATATTTGGTATGTGCAATGACATACGCAGGTCTACCGATTGATGACTTCAGTGTTTTTTTTTTACCTTTTTACACACATCTAGAGCTAATTTTCTGGAAGAATGGAAGACGTGGCCAGCCATAGGAGCCTGGCCAACGAGCAGGTGTATATTGCGAGGCACCTCTAACCACTGCGCTGCACGCTTTTTGTCTTCGAAATGCTCTGACGAAGTAGCAGTTTAGATAAATATGTTTTGAATAAGAAATATTTCCACAAAATATTTTATGAAAGTAGTGTGGCGCAATGGGCGCGTGTACCGCAGTGGTCGGTGGCGCCCTGCAATACACAGGGGATCGATTCCCGCGTCCCTGGCCCACCAAGCCTTCCATCCCTCCGAAATAGCAGCATTGGCTTGATGCATCGGTAGGCCACCGCAAGTCATTGTAAAAGCCGGATATGCATTCAATCACTTTCAAACGGTGCTTAATTAAGTCAAGATCATGGTACATTCCTAAGGGATTGATCAACGCAGAAAGCTTTTCAGCTTTAGCTTTATAAATAGTCTACAATTCTTATTTGAAATTTTTAGGTGATGTTACGCTTCCTGAGGGCCTTTCTGTTGTTATTGTGCCAATGACAACGGCTCGTGATGAGCGATATTGGGAGCGTCCGGAAGAATTCTATCCGGAACACTTTGACACCGAAAAAGTGACCAAAAGGGACACATATGCATATATTCCGTTCTCCGCAGGACCACGCAATTGCATTGGTTCGTGTTTCATTGTGCGACGTGATTTTCTAGTTACAACAGTTTTGAATTTTAAAATAATGAATAGCGTTGCAAAATCAAACTAATGTGTAGCCTTCGGAAAACAAAAACCATGAATAGATGTTGTTCAGGACAAAAATTCGCTGTGCTCGAAGAAAAAGCGGTGCTGTCTTGGATTTTTCGGCGTTATCATGTTGAAACCGAGGAGCCATTTCCAGAGAATTACCCGATTCCTCAGCTCGTCTTGACTCCTTTAAACGGCATTCGAGTTCGGCTAACAAAACGATGACCTTCGAATTCTTATTCTCATTAATATCGTTTTTGTTTTTGTGACCTGTTCTAGTCTTAACTGTTGCGGTAACACTTGGTCACAGTGGGAATTGTCGCGTGTGAATCGCGCTAATATCACTAAAAAATGCTTCTTGTGATAAAAAAAACATATATGTTTCAACTTGTTTTCCTGCAACAACCACTTCGCCTCATAGTGATTATGGGAAAATCGGAAAAAATGGTGCGATTTCAATGATGATTCGGTAACCGTTCTTGCCTATTTCTAGTAATGAAATATTTTTTGGTTGAATAAAGATTTCAGTTGAGTTTCACGACAGACGTACTAAGATTTTCCTAAACAGCCATCCGTTGTTGATCGGACGTTATTTGTCACCTCGTGATAAGGTTTCTATTATTGTGGCTGTTATTACAGACAGTGGCTTGCTTTTAGTTGGGCTTCCAGGTAGAAATAACGGACTCAGCGTGGGAGGACAAGAAAGATGAATTGCTAACAGTCTAACTTTCGAATCAAAATTAGATTATTTTAGATATTGGTAGCCCCTTTCTCATTAACCAAAATCAAGCACTGTTCTCAATAATGACGAATTATTGATAAGTAAGGATTCGTCGCCGAAAACACACCTCCCTCTGATCCATATCGTGGTGAAGACCTGGATTCGCTCTTGCAAGGATAAGTCAGGACTCCAGCGAGGACTTAGTTGCATGACCAGCAATAGGCCAGCCTCAGTACTCCGCACACTGGGCGCTCCCGTCTATGACGTCAAGCGATGAGATGATCGGTGAGAGGCCAGAAAATCTCGGGTTACACAGCACGCCACTGGAACTAGCTTCGACGAATACACGCACGACACACGCCATGGAGATTGTTCCTTGTTATGCACATATAATGCCAGAACACTCTCCGCGGCCGCCGTTCTTCACGTTCTTCTTGTAGCCGCAGATCGCATTAAATTTTACGTGATCGCAATGTAAGAAACAACGGCACCCTTGTGATTCGTGGAGAAAAGATCCCGTCACGAAATGTCGGTGGCGTACACTTTGTCGCCCATACGTCCATTGTCTATCTCGTCGGCTCATACGTGATCCTTTCCCCTCGCATAGGCGTCTTCCGTCTTCAACTGTCGCATCATAAGATCACTATCATCAAACTGCTACTCACCGACCGACGCAGCTAATGAGTACGAATCAAATGCATTCAACTACCAGCAGGAGGAAGTCATCCGCAATGGTAAAGCATATCATAAATTTGTTGTTGGAAACTTCAGCTCCAGAATAAAAAAGGCCAAGAAGAGCGAACACAGGATCGGAAATATTGGATTAGAAGGAAGAAATGAGAATGAGACGTCTCACAGGACTTCTGTCCGCAGCACGTCTTTTTCATGGAAACTCGTTCCTCCAGAAAAAAGAAAGCCGCCGCTGGAAATGGGGGTCTCCCAACGGCATGACTCATGCGGAGATCGACGACATTCTGACAAACAGAAGATGGTGCCTACTTGACACATCGGTAGTCCCGTCATTATGTACCGGTTCCAACCACCGCCTTCCTCGCCTCGCGAAGATTCTATTCAGCCTCAAGCTGGAAAGGAGCTCCCTTCATCGACGATGAGGAAAAAGTCTAGCTGTATACGACGAGAACATTCTAAACAAAGTCCTGTTCAAACGTGACTGGCAGATTAAAGAAGACCTGACCGAAGACTACGAGCTGCTTGTCGAAGGACTGAAAAGCTGTGCCTACTTCGCCTCAGTTCCTCAAGCAAGAAGATCGGATCGCATCACCATCACTACTAAGGAGTTGCTCGAAAAAAGAAGGAAACTGAAACTTGATGCTACTGCAATACGTTTAACATGGCTAGTAATAAATGCCGGCTGCAGAAGAGCTTTGCAGAAAGATCTACAACTGTACAAGCAGAACAAACTACTGGAAGCAGCAGCAAAAAGAAGCAGTCTAAAAAATGCCGTTGGGACTTGGGTGATTATAATGTTCCGCTGTCAGTCCTGATGAATGAAGATGGGATCTTTTGCAAAACCCGGACCGCAGGTGTCTGCTGTGGAGAACGAACGCGCTATTGTCCTTTCCGAGGAAACACCTGCGGTTCGGAGTTTTGCAAATATCTCAGCATTATAGTAGTTATATTTCGCAAAATACCCTGCCGTTAAAAAGAATAGACTGTAAATAAAAAAGTGAAGATGAGATCGTTAAAACTTTTCGCCATGACATGGAATTAATAACGGAAACGTTCTACACCAACCTTTTCAGTTCCACAATCCCCATCTCAGACCCTAACATACCCTGTGGAAAGAAGACAACTGGAATTCTTCCGTCGGAAGTTCGAATTGCGATAAAAAGCATGAAAAGAGGCACAGCTCTAGGACCCGATAATGTTACCGCCAGCTTCCTTAGACTTGAAAGCCACAATTTACATGTACTTCTCGCAGATCATATGGCAGCCTACCTTCAAAACTAAGAAATCCCAGACCAGTGGAAGACGTCGCGCATGGTCATCCATCCCAAGAAAGGTGACCAAAGGGATCTTCGTAACTGTAGTCGCATATGCTTGTCGAGTGTACTCTACAAACTCTTCTCGAAGATTAACCTCTCACGCATATCAAGGACATTGGATGAGGCGCAACCTGTCGAGCAAGCAGGATTTCGAAAAGGATTTTGCTGCATGGACCACATCCAAACCGTGTCCAGAGTCATCGAAGTTTGTCGGAAATACCACTTGCTTCTAGTCCTAACTTTTGTCGACTATGAGAAAGCGTTTGACAGTGTCGAAACGAATGCAATCCTATCAGCGCTCGTCGACCAAAGAGTTGACCCGTCCTACATAAGGACTCTGTCCGACTGTTATCGGAACTGCACAACGAAAATGCAGCTTTCCCATCGACCTCTTACCATAGCCATAAGAAAAAGGGTTCGACAGGGCGGCACAATGTCGCCAAACCTGCTCAGTGCCGCATTGCAGTGAATAATGAAGTTACTCGATTGGGACGAGAAAGGCATACGTATTGATGGAATCTTCTCATTGTCATCTTCTTAAGAAGTACTAGCGGAGCACAGATGATGACCAAGAGCTCAACGAAGCGAGAGAAAGATCGGACTGCGCATAAATTGAAAGAAGACCCAGTTGATGAAAAAGCCATGGTGCGAAGGCGAAAATTTTGAATTGGATGGCTCTTTCATTGCAGAGACCACCTCGTACGCTTACCTTGGGCGATCAATGAACATGGAAAACAAAATGAAGAAGGAACTAGATAGAAGGAGAGCAGCTTGGGCCCCATTCGGGCCTCTCAAAGAAAGAAGCCACCGAACAACTGAAGGACCTGAAAATCCGCGCTCATCTCTTTGATTCTACGGTCCTCCCAGCTCTCTGTTGTGCTGCAAAGACGTGGGTTGATACTTCAGCTACCTCAAGAATGCTTCGCAGTACACACAGAGCGCTTGAGCGATACCTTCTGAAATATAACCGGCACTCTCAATATCTAGTCGGAATGCGAAACTCTGACCTTCGAAATTTGTCACATGTTCGAGATCCAGGAGAATATACATTATACATCGGCAGCTGAACATAGATGGACCGGCCACATAATAAGAAGAACAGACGACGGAATGAAGAAAGAAACAGTAGAGTGGGCTCCAAGAGAATGCAAACGTCTCTTGGGACGACCACCTACACGTTGGGCGGACGTGTTCGTAAGCAGAGTTAATCAGCTGTACCCGCAGCTGCAGTTGTTTTACAGATCACGGTATGCGACTCGACTCGCAAGCGCTGCCATGCTCGAACAAGACCACCACCATGAACTACGATTGCGAGAGAAAGGAACGAATGGCACACGTGCTGGAGTCCGCACAGCTCATGAAAACGGACCGTCCAAGTAACCAAGTAAGTAAGTATTGATAAGTCGCCAGAATTGGCAAGTCTTATGTTCCGTACTAATTCCTCGGTAGTAAATAGATTCACATCGTCGTTCCTCAAATTTTATGTTAAGAAAGCATGTTATTATCTGTTAAGAGCAAAAAAATGCCGAAAATAGACGAAACTTCTTGTGCAAAGGAAAACCACTAGAAAGTTATAAGTCCCTCTAAAGTTCTTTGTAAATTGAGTGTCAAAGGAATGTTCACAAAGAACTAAGAACGTGTTTTTTGTGTGAGCATTAAATAAATAACTTAACACGCTCGCTAACTTGAAAATGCAAAAGCCTATAGGCATGTAAAATTTTTCTTGGTTAGTTAAGTTAAAAGCTCAAAGTCGGTTTTACGTTCAAACGATGTTTATCATGGTTTACTGATAGAGATTAGCAAATGACGAGCTTAACATAATATTCTCTCCAATCATTTCATATTTCTATAACTACATTTTTATGAGTGGGAATTATCACATTTTTACTCATTTGGACACGAGTTTAGAGCACTATGACCTCAAATAATCTTAGCAACAAGAAAAATCTCCCTGATAGTCGTATCTACTTCATCATGGCTAGAGGAGTGCGTATTTACACAATGGCCAAACTGCGTTTCTGGAACAAACTTGGTAGTAAAGAGGCAGTCTTTTTTTCCGTTCTTAAACAACAATGGCCACCAGTGGTGGCGACGTTGAATACCTCATAACTCCGTAGAAAAGCTTTCCCAGAGTACATGAGTCGAATGGCGGGTCTGCTGGTGCGTGCAGTTTTGCTCGCAAAGATGAGTGACTGAACTGAGTACCAATTAAAATATTGAGAAGGAAGTGAAACAAAGCCCAAAATATACTGAACTGATCCTTTGCAAACTGTTCCGAATAAATATTTTGCAATGTTCGATAGATTACTGAAGTCACTGCCCTTCTGGAAATATCCCTGTCGTATTCTACGTAACTCTTCGATCTGCAAACTCATCCATGTGGAGAAGGCTGAAGAATCCCGTAATACGGTTACTTCGCAATTGTAGGAAGATTTATACTCAATCAGGAAATGCACGTGATCATATCCTTTGTCTTGCAATGCCCTTGTGGTTACATC